GGGGGCTGCGGGGCAGGTGGGGACAAAGCACAGCCCCCCTTCCCCCCAGGGGTACTGTGGATTCTTCACCCTCCTAACGCCCCGGCTGCGCTCAGGAGCAGAGAGGGAGCTCACCTGAGCTCCACACATCACACTCATTTCCTACAGCTTAGCCTTGTGGCCCGGGCGATTTTTATCAACTTTCCTCATTCAACATTTATTGCTTATGACAAACCATATCTCTGCAGCCGGCCTGAGCGATGCCCACCATTAATCTCCTTGCACCTGTGGCCCCGAGGATTATCGGTTCTTCCCCTGTCTTTGTAGGATAAAGACATCACTGGTAAAGCAAAGTGGCTTCAAGCAAGCACCTCGTGAAAACAAAACAAAACAAAACAGGGAATAGTTGTTCCCCAGAAGCAGCTGTAACATTTCTCATGTCTGCAAGAATCCCGTACGGTTTTCATGCTGCAATATCAAGGTTGCAGTGGTAATAAATGGAAATGCCTTTATTGCTTTTTTTCTTTTCCGTTGTTATTTCCACAGGGAGAAGATAATTTCACTTACTGTCCAGCAACAGGCCTAGCTAAAGGAAATGAGCACTCGGAATTTGCTGGCTGGGCATTCCCCTTTCCAGGGGTGTTCCTGGTGGAGGAGTTCATTAGTGAAGATGAAGAGTGTGAGATAGTGGAACTGATGGATCGAGATGACTGGAAACCATCACAGTCTGGCCGAAAGAAGCAGGTTGGACTTCAGAAGCACATTTGCTCTTGGATGCCTCTGGAAAAGGAAAGATGTTTTCAGTCAAACCCCCAGATATTTAGATGTTTCGTTAAATGTCTTCCTTTGAAAGCTTTTCCTGAAATCAATGGCAAGAGTTACCTGTCGTTAAAATCAACTTCTTGGAAAAACACACGATAGTCAAAACAAACAGTATTTGATGGTTCATGTCCAGGCATTAAAGTTCTCACAATCTCCAAGGGAAAGAAGTGGGTGTGTGGGTTTGGTTTTACTTTACAAATCCAGCTCCAGAGAGATTAATGTACATTCACCGAGTCCTTTTGGAACCTGGTGACCAGGAAGAGATGAGAACAGAATCCTGTAGCAGCCACAGCCTCTCCAAAAAGGCTTGTCCTAGATTTTCCCTTTACACCAGCTTTTTTCCCCTCTCTCTTCTTTTCCAACAGGACTATGGACCCAAAGTGAACTTCAAGAAGCAAAGGCTGAAAGCTGATGGCTTTACTGGTTTGCCAAGTTTCAGCAGGAAGATCGTGGCACAAATGAAGGCCTGCTCTGTGCTCAGTGGTTTCTCACCTGTTGAACAGTGTAACCTGGACTACACACCAGAGAGGGGTTCTGCCATAGACCCCCACTTTGATGACTGGTGGCTGTGGGGGGAGCGTCTGGTCAGTTTAAACTTGCTCTCCAAAACCGTGCTCTCCATGTCCTGCGACTCAGAGGACACCATCCAACTGTCCCCCACTTTCAGCAAAGGGGAATTAAGCCCCCCCGGGTCCCTCGCACAAACATCAGCGTGCAGAAATTCGGGCGAGGAGGGAATGGAGGGCGTTGTGCCGCCGAGGCTGGTTCCCAGTAAGGAGGTGACTGTTGCTGTTCACTTGCCCCGGAGGGCGCTGGTGGTGCTGCAGGGGGACGCGCGGTACAAGTGGAAGCACGGGATCCACCGCAAGCACATCGAGAACCGCCGGGTCTGTGTCACGTTCAGGGAGCTCTCTGCGGAGTTCAGCGCCGGGGGAAGGCACGAGGAACTGGGCAAAGAACTGCTGGAAATAGCTCTTTCATTCCAAGGGAGGCCGGTGTGATCAAGGGGAAGCCCGAGTTGCATTTTTTTAGGAAATTTGTAAAACGGGGTACAGAATTTGTACGACCCGGTTTTTTTGTGTGTGTGAGGAACCAGGTGTCTGCAGAGAGAAGCTCAATAAAGTGGAAATTTGACAAACAGAAATAAGGGAGTGCAAGGAAGGGGTGGGCTTCAAAGGCTCTGCTGGGCAACGGGAGCTTTTAGGCCAAAGTCAGAAATGAGCTGTTGTATCCATTAGCTGCGTTTTAACAAAAAAGCAAACAGCCAGTTTCTAAACACTGAAGTGCTTAGAAGAAAGCAAGTTAGAATCATTAACTGAGCTGAAAATCAAACAGCCCTTGACACAGTTTTAGCCCAAGCCCTGCCACATATTTTAACCTTTCCTGGCCCACACGTGATACTGTCAGAGGGTTTTGAATGTTCCACCTCGCCCTGGGGGCACAACTATCTCTTCACCCTCCTCAGAACCTTCAGAGACCAGCTCCCAGGGGAGGAAGGTAAGCAAGTATCTCTCCACAGCTAGTACAACACACTGAGAACTAATTAATTATCCTTTGCTGAAGATTCAGGCTCTTAACAATGAGGATTAATCATAAATTCCGTGTGTGACCTGTATCTTCTGGGACCTAAGAGCAGCATTTGCAGAGGGCTGATGCCACTCTTCAAGCTTGGACAGGGATCAGACCAAAGGCCTGCACAGGCTGTGTTATTTTCTGATCATTTGTCATCTCTGAACCCCGCTGTCAGCTCTCAGTAGCAAGAGTCTGATTTTGGGAATAAGCTGGGCAACAGACTGCAACACTGGCAGCTATCATTTATTTTCCTGGCACCTCCAGCAGTCAGGTTTGAATCATGCCTCGTACCTAAGATTCAAGTAGTCATTTGCAGCAGAAGCTGATTTGAGGCCATCTGTCTGCTCTGAACAAACTTCTGTGCTCTTCAAAATGAAGTTGTGCCATGGAAGAAGTGTGATCCTTTAATAAACACAGTTGTGCCATGAAAACCATTCAGCACAGTCACACCTACAGCAGTAAAACACCGTGTTACAGTGCTGCCTGGCTTTGGTTGGTAAGGAAAGGGGACAGACATATTTACCAACAGGATCTCAGCATCCCTGCACTGCCGTGTTCTGCCCTAGAAGTACTTCCCTGGCACAATGCACAGGATTTACTGTACAGTAATGCACTAATGCCACAGGCACTGCCCTCTGCTTTAGGGACTGCAGGGGAGGGAGCTCTTTACCCCAAACCCTTACTAGAAATCAGTTGGGTCAATCAGGATATTTCTTATCAGTTTAAGCCAACGGATACAGCTACAGCTCTTTGTGCAGTGAACCAGGTTCAGTTTAGCCCTGTATTTAAATAGCTGTGGACATTGCCTACGTGTTAATTCCTGCAGAGATCCACAAGCAGGGCTGCCACGGGCAGTCCCAACCCCCAAACCTCCATCCAGGCGGGCTGGGGAGTGTCACTGAGGTGCTCCAGGAGTGATTCCAGCAGTCACAGCACGGCCTCTCTGATGGAAACCTGTCACTGCAAATACGAACAGGCACAGAGAGCTCTATCCCAGGAAATTCTGCGTAGGCTGCAACTGGAAGAAATTCTTCCCTGTGAGGGTGGTGAGGCACTGGCACAGAGAAGCTGTGGCTGCCCCTTCCCTGGAAGTGTCCAAGGCAGGTTGGAGGGGGCTTGGAGCAGCCTGGGATAAGGGAAGGTTCCCTGCCTATAGCAGGGGTTGGAACTGGATGATCAGCAAGGACCCTTCCAACCCAGCCCATTCTGTGATTCTCCAGCTCACTCCCAAAAGCAGGGGGTGCTCTCAAAACAGTAGTTCCTCACCTTTCCTGTAGCCTGGTGTGATCAGCACTGTGTGGCTGGAATCCATAGGGCTTTGGGAGCATGATGTTCCCAGGACAGCACCTGGAGCTGCCTTTGGAGCAGAGGAGCTTTGTGCACGAAGGAGGAGGAGGCTGTCAGCCTGGAGGAGCCCAGCACAGACACACAGAGGAAACCCAGGGCAGGTTCTCACAGAGCAGTCACTGCACTCATATCCTCATCACTCTTCCAGTTCCGAGCCTCTCCATCGATCCAGTCCAACTGCAGCAATCAAGTATTGCCATTAATGTTTGGCCCTAACTTCCAACACTCCCTTTTAGATTTATATTGCACTCTCAGCCTGCTAAAACACTTTCCTTGTGTGTACCTGCTGTTCCATTCTCTCTGCACTGGAAGCAGATGATGGCTCCTGATGAATCAGATTGCCACAATAACACATACACAGTGTTAGTTCATTTTGTGCCCTGCATTTGTTAGCTGAGTTTTTCTGCCTCAATCAAACCATGCAGGAAGCTGCTGCTCTTGCCAGAAAATTCCAGCTCTTCCTGGTTGGTATCTTAAATGTGAAAAAATGCAAATAATTAAATACTGAGCCAAAAACTGAGGGATTTGTCTCGATGGTTTTGAAGTCCAAAACTTAATCTAGTCACTACACTAATTGCTGGGTCAGTCTTTTGACATTTTAAACAGCCTCTTGGGCATCATCCTTAGATCAAAATGCAATTACACCCATCTGTTCAGTATTACTTTACAAAACTTTATGTACATTCTCTCCTAAAAAGCCAGAAAACAAAACAAACAAACAAAAAAGCCAGAAAACCCTGTTTTGCAGAGTTACAAAGCATTAACAAATTGACTGTCAAGTACCATAGAAATCCGAAAAAAGTACAAAGAGGTTTTAGTCTTAATTAATGAGCTCTTAAAAGTAATTTTGTCCACTAAGCTGGTATTATTAACATAAGACAAATTTTAATGGTCTTCTTGATATAGAAGTTCCTGTCACAGCTGTTCATCTCCTTAACCATCTCCTTAACCTCCTTGTAAAGCACATGCCAAGACCCAGACCCTCATTAAAAGGAAGCACGTCTAATTGTTATCTACTTGTGTATGTTAAAAGGAGAAGGATAATATCTGAGTGAGATTTTTTTAAAAAAACAAGGCAGAACTCAAGTTAACCCATAGAGGATGCTGGAGGACTTGAGCTGCCTTTCAAAAAATCAGTCTGAAATCAGTAAGAAGCACAAAACTGAGCAAGTTTATCCAGTTTCTCTCACACAGCTGGACAATAACTGAGATACATTCGTTGCTCTACATTAAATATTGTTCATGCAGAGATAAAACAAGAATGGACAAGGCTAAAATACAGATTTTTTTTTTTTTTCCTCTTAGCACTCATCACTGTCACAACCCTGGGCAGAAGGCAGCTGGACACACAGGGATTCAAGGGAACGCTCTCCAAATCCAGACAGTCAAATTACTGAAACTGCTTTGAGTCGGGTGCAGAGAAAAGAGCCTGAGAGTTAATCAGAAAATAACCCCCCTGGCCCAGCCTCGCCGGGAGCTGAATTTGAGATTGCAGCCTGGAGGGGGTGCTGAGGCAGCTATCTTAAAAGTAGATGCAATGAGATTTAGAAGATTAAGAAGCTGCAGCAGTGGGGAAAATCCAAAAAGCCTTTTGTTGTTTGTTTGAAGGCAGGGACAGGAGAGAAAGCACATTATGAAAGGCCAGAGGAGCACCTCCACCCCGCAGCCCAGCTCAGGTGTCCTCGAGGCAAGCTGGGCTTGCCCATTCCCACATCCCAGAGCCAGGGAAGAGGAAGGATGTTCTCTCTCTGCAGCTGAACCCAGAGCTCTCTATAAACACTCCCACATATCTGAGCGCTTACGGCAGCGCTCGCCCCACCCGGGGCTCTCGCACAGGATCGCTTTCATCCGTCGCGTGGAAACCCAACACTGCTCCATCTCTCCTGGTCATAAAGTCCCTCTGAGAGTCACATACCCACTGAAACAACGGGAGCCAGGCCTGCCCTGGGGTGATGTTAAAAATAGGGAGCTCACAGAGTGAGAGCTGCCACTAAACACGGCCAAAGGAGAACCCGACACTGCTCCGGCTCTCACCGCTCCCTCCGGCTCCCAGTCGTGCACTGCCTTTACTCCTGCTAATGAGGGAAGGAGGGAGAGGAGTTGCCTCCGAAATTACCAGGGCAGGTGCCTGGGAATGATATAAATTGGGCTGTACCCTTGTTTTTGACAGCTCCTTCCCTGTTGCAGGGTGGGCAGGCAAGGTCCCTCCAGCGCTGCAGTCTGCAGAGGCGTTTTTCTGCTGGGCAAAAGCTGTCCAAAAAAAATCTAGAGGAAGACTCAGGACTCTGGAGTGAGATCATGGCTGTCCCTCTGCTAAGCCGCAGAGCAAAAATTGGAGAAATGGCCCAAATAAGGTAATAACTGGTCCAGTGAGTCACAGCCCAAGGGGGCTGAGAATCAGGGCAACAGCCACCCCAAGGTGCAGCAGCCCAGGGCCCAAGGCTGGTACAGAAAGCCACCATACATGTCAGGGAGATCCTCAACACATGTCCCCAGCTGAGGGTGGAACCCTTGGGAGAAGCATCTCTGGGAAGGAATTGCAGGAACAGAGCCATGCAAAACCTGGGACACTCCAGGAATGACAAACGGACACCCCAGGAATGACAGAGAGGTGACAGCACAGGACAGACAAATCCAGACATGACACAGGCCTGCTGGGACAGCAGTGACAGTGTGGAAAGGCTGGAATCTTCATGCTTGACTGATGGGGATCCTGCTGACAGCCACGGGCAGCAGCAGGAGCAAGGATTTTCTAGTGCTGTAGCACAGAAACACCCACCTGGGCAACTACAACATCCCTACTCCTTCCTTTATGGATAAACTGCTATGGCTGGTACCACAGGTAACCTGTCTGCAGCACAAGTCTGGACCCGACAGAGGTGAAAATGTAAACAAGCTGAAGGAAGAGAGGCAGGAGCAAGAAAAGCAGATGCTGTTTTTGGGAAAGAAGAGGAGTTACAGCATGAAGGTGATCCCAGAGAGATCCCAGATGCCACAGTCACTGAGCAAAAATACTCTCAAGGGCTTCTCATGGAAGGGAGAACTCGGTGCCCAGAGAGACACAAGACACAGAGCTGCAAGCAAAGATGGGAAAGCATGTTATTATTCTGTTTTAAGTACATTTGCCCCCGGGACACCATCCCAAACCACACCTCAGACTCCCCCTGGAGTAAGGCAATCCCACTCCAGTCACAGATGCTCTGCCTTGGGACTGCTCTTGAATCC